TGTTATGTAAGTATTTGGCTTAGTAGATTGCATATCAATTTGACCTCTACAAACTTTAAAGATCGCGTAACTGCAAGATGTTACTGTTGAATAAACCTTGTAATAACAACGTCATATGTGCTTATTAAGAAAACACCAACTTAGTGACTAGTTAAACCAGTGGGTCACTGTGTCTCATTTTTATAGGCCCGATGAGCACTCAATCACCGCTACGATATTTGATCGCTCTCCGTCGCTCAGAAATTAGTCAGCCGTAAACACTTTTTCCTCTGTCTTTAATTATTCTAAATGATTCATGCTCAGTTACGCAAGCACCAGGTATCAGCTTGAGGACTTCGGATCAATAGACCCGGTTGGTGTGGGACGGATCGAACCAATGATCATGAATGTATTTTTAAAGCGACTTTCATTTGACTTTTGTATGAATAATTAATATTTCGTTGTACTCATGGGGCTGCACGAAGTTCTTAACAAAATTTCTTCATTGTGACTATCGCTTCGGCACTTTGCCTAAAACTGTAATGATTCGAATCGGTTGTGCAATACATTTCTCTCTTGAGACGTGAGTCTTCGCAGTTACATCGAATTAAAAAATATTGTTTTGCCATGTGGCAGTTAGTATTATACCGACGGCTGCGGAGGCAATGCATAGTGTTGGGAAATATAAAATAGAAAGAGGAAGAAAATTTAATATTACTATCTTTTTCTATTTTATTACATAACCTCGCACCACAGGTATCACACTGTGTGGATCCCAGCATTTCTTCCATTCAATTGGGTTTCTCGTTGCCATCATTCACGAATATCTTCAAGCTTTTATGAGTGTGGCTTCGGTTGCCGGTTGAGGATTGTCTTCGTTTTCATGTCACTGAGTGCCGGTCACGTCGATTCTTCTTGAACTTCTGAAATCACCTTAGTAGCGTGTTCACACGTGAACTGAACAGCGGAGCTTTTCCTAGACAAGTCTTGTGCCAATCTCACCACCTCGGAACGATGACAGGAATGCTGAACCCGAAGCGGAACTAATCAGTGCCAGTTGGGTTGGCTCACCGATGAAATGAGCAGAACAACTACCACTGCACTACCGGCTCCAAACAAACTATTACCAATGTGAAATAAGTCTAGAACTGTCCTGTATAAAGACGCATTCCTGGACGAGATTATTTTATTCGTTAGATCTTTCACCCCATACATCTCCAGTTCGTCTCGCCCACAAAGAGCCATCGCCCGAGAGTGAACTACTGTTGACATTCGACTCGAATTAACACGACTCTAAAGAAAGCGAAGTTTTAGTTAGAACAAAGAAATGCAATGAATTCGTGTTAACTTGTGAATCCAACAAAATATGTCCATTATTTTCTTACTCATGTATTCATACGATGAAAAAAAATGCCCATTCCATGGGCCACACCGGCAAAAGTGGGTAATTTGCACCAATTCTACAAAGAAGGAACGGCTTTCATCCAGACATTTGATATTCAGCGATTAATATATCCTCAACCGTGCATGATTTTCCGCACGCGCAAAGAAATTTTCCATAATTGGGGAACCTGAGGACCTGAGGCTTGCAGAACAGATTTTGCCTTAATCTATGTACAATGTTTCAAAAACAATGAAATACTGACAAAAATCTGAAGAAGCATGAATGTACCAATTTTCAAATAATCGTAGGCAAATGCGGCAACCACCTACAGTGACGACTCATTTGAAGTCATTTTGACGTTTTGCAGGACGAAATCCCGCTTCTCTATTTTCTCTACCTCCTGAAATACTGGCCTCAGCAAAAAAAAGTGGAAAGAGTTGAGGGTTCGAGGACTACTAAAAAATAGGGTTTCATTTTTATAGGAGAAGTATTCTTGCAATTTACTGCTTTTTTAAAGTGTGTACGTTTCGCCTTTTTCATATGAGTCAATGAAGCACACTTGTTGTCGAAGCATGTTAGGTCAATGTTAAGAGGCTGGGTTTTTGGAAGCGTATGAGGCATGCATGGCTCATAGTATCACGAACGTGTTGAAGACTTGAATATGCCCGGATTTTCGGCGAGCTCTCAATAACCGCACATTTGGTTTTAATGCCATTGTATATTTCGCGTAGGAGATTTCGTTCTGAATGGTGACAAAGCAGTTCTTTCTGCTTTTAGAAATTACTTACCTATTTATGTACTTAAATACCTGGATGGCCCGTCCTTACCGGTTGTGTGGGCTCCAAATTTCCATTTTTTCGTGGTCATGCTAGCTTGGCCATTGTGGTTCCCTGGAGTCCCGAGAACCTGACCAGTGTTTGCCTCAGGTCGTCCGTCACTCATTGTGCATTCACAGTCGCACAAGCAATCATAGCCATTGTGGATCAGAGGGAGATTTGCCATCATGAGACTAGTTCGGTACCAGAACGGTGATGGATCCTGGTATTGGCTTACTCTTAGCTAAGCTTACTGATGGATATGCTGAACTTGTGGAAATTATGTGACTAAATTGCCAAATATGAACCTCAGAAGGCTCATGCCGCTCCATTTGTCGTTCGAACTCTTTTGTAATTTTACATCGTAGAGTTCTATTTCTTGTATACATCACTATTGTTCTACACGGAGCTACGACATCAAGGCTTCTGTGTACACTACACATCTTCCATCTGGGATCAACACATTACGAGTGAACTCCATAGAATTCAACAACGTATCGAAAATCTCTAAAATATGTAATAACCTATAAAGTAAGTTCCTAGGAGTCTTAAAGACTACACACCGAAAAGTTCTCGGCGAACAATAGAGGAATAGACAAATCTCCGATTGGCTGCACTGCACCAGACCGAGTAATGATGCCAGCAAGCACGACACTTTCGCAACGGCGTCCTAACGCGACGCGACCGCGTCCATTAATTGCTCACTGGGTGGCGGTGGGGCACGTGCGCTTCCCACTTCCCGCCTTTTTCCCTTGGAGCACGAAACGCCAATTTCTGTGTTTAACAGTTAGTTATTTTTCGAAACGTCTTGTTTTACCAGGAAATAGTCAGTTTTGTTGTGTTATTCGGTGATGACACTTGTGAAAACACTGGCCAATTGCAGCTTTCATCATTTATGTATTTGCCTATTCTTTTACCAATTTTGTAAGCTAAACTTGTTCCATATCTTGTAGTAGCACTGTGGTTTATCAAGAATCATCAGAAAAAGCTCATAATTCTAAGGGATTGTGTCCACTTATCTTTAAAATGAGGGTAGAAATGGAGGGGTTTGTCTATGTGTTACATATGTCTTGTGATGGATATAAGCTTTCTTTTCAGCAATCTTGTCCTTCGTTAATATCTTTTTCAGTAGACTGTTGCTAGTAAATGTATAGATTTACTGTTAATACGTACTTCGTTTGTAGTATTTCAGTTAGAGAAGTACATGTGCTTGAATTTGAGCACAGTTGCTTGTAGATACGGACGCCTGAAGAGCCGTAATTTACTAATTTGACTTTACAATTTGTTGTAGTTTATATGTTTCTGCTGTTACAACCTAATCTTCGAACACTGAAATACGTAACGTTTTCGTTAGTATTCCTACTTCTAGAGAAGGAATTTCATCCATCTGTATTCATGCTGCTAACGAACCGAGGAGATCCTTAATGCTTGGGTACTTGGATACTCGGATGGTCCATCCTCACTGGTTGTTCGGGCACCAGCATAATCTCTGTTTTATCTGAGCTTTACTGATTTAGTCACTGTGGATCCCTGGAGTCCCGAAGTTAACCTAGCCAAAGTCTACCCTTGGCCACCACCACAGGCATTCGCCGCCTTTGTGAATCAGAGGGAGAATAGCCACTGTGCGACTAATTTGATACTAGGACGATATTTAGTATCGGTATTGGTTTACTCTTGGCTAGGCTTTCCCATGGAAACGTCAGACTCCTTCTCAGCTTGGGAGACTCTGTAGGGGGAATGAATCCCCGTTGTACATTGCTGTCCGACTCCCAGGAACAACTAGCCACGATGAGGCGGTAAACCGTTGGGAGGCATCCTTACTACAACGCTTAGAAATGTAAGATCGCGTGCATTTGATCATTGTTGGTTTTGTTCTTAAAAGAAGTCTTGTTAGCATGTAACTCTCAGTTCGTCGTAGAAGTTTATTTTGTTTTACATCGGTGTTGTAAAAAGTGCTGTGTGAAAAGGGTAACACAGAGTTCACGAATGGGCTTGAATATTTGTGGTTAAAGCACTGTTCACAAAATTAATCATATGACGGCATTGGAGTAGGTCGGTTACTGCTTTTGTAATACTCAGTGAGAGGTTTCCATTGCCAAATGCATACCAATTAAAGAATGAATTCGATTCTAGGAGAGTTTTAAAGTTAGTTCCGAAATTGCGGAGATTTCAACATTGCACATATCTAACTGCTTGCTAAAATAGATATTGAAGTGAAGGTAGAGCAGATGAAAGTGTTGAAGTTGTCAAGTAGTAATGCTAAAGAGCTATCTGGTTAAACTGTGATTTGAAAGTGGAGACAGAACTATCATTTGCTCTATCTTCAAACACTATCTTGTTCTTCATTGTTGCAATTGTCGCTTCCTGTGATCGAGAAATATTGGATGGCAAGTTTAATTAACCGACTTTTGTAGGACATTTAGGTCATACAGAAAAATTATCGGTTAAAGGACCGTGAGGGAGAAGGCATCAAGACAGCAAAAAAACTAGACTGCGGGTAGTTGTTTGGGCGTAGACGTAGTTCTAGATAGTGCTGCATTCGGATGTAGACCATCCTATTTATTGTGAGTTTTCTTTTTCAAATCTTTCAATGGATTGCTTTTTACCTGCGGACTTATGTGCCCACGACTGTCTATTATAGCTGCAAATTTCTGTTATTCCGATTTATCGAGTGTTCTACTTTTTTTTAAAAATATTTTTTGTTATTGTTTCTTTTCTAGATCATCTTTCCGGGAAAATGTTACGGGTGTTTTTCACGTACCGTCTCTTAAATTCTTATAGACGACCTTGTCCCCGTTATGCCATATCCAAAGCGGGGACGAATGCAAAAATCGACTGAGGAAGTAGATGTGGATGTCGAAGCGCCAATAGAAGACAGAAGAGATGCGTTGGGAAACGAGTTAGGATTAGGCGTGACTGATTCAGCAATGGAGCACGATATCATAGGAGAGCAGAACATATTGGAAGCCGCAGAAGGTGTTTTATGTTGTTTTTTTTTAATTTTGTAAAATCCACTTTTTTAAAATTATGCTTGACTAAGTTGTTTCGTAGTCGGATGGTTTGCATAATAAGTGGTGAGTTCGCAATGTAAAGAAAGGCCAAGTGAAAGCATTGTTCAACAATTCTGTAAAAATTATTTTCGTGTTTTTATGCCTTACTATTCGTTATTGTTTAACTCTATATGCATTTCTTTTTATACACAATACTCATGAGAAGAATCTATGATTGGCCTAATTACTAGGAATTTAATGAGCTCCTTGAAGCAACTTTTGTATAATATTAGGTTCTTTGGAAATCATTGTCGTGTTTCATCCTCAACTCTCGAATGGCAAATCTGAACTCAGGGTGAACTTTATTAATCTGAATGAAGGCCGTTAGAATCTGGATATTTTTGCCAACAAAGAGCAATTTACCTATACCTATCGCATGAAATTCTAGACTTAAGATTCTAGAGGCGATTAAGTTAGTAAGAACAGTTTTAGCTTAGGCTTGCTCTCTGAAACATTTCTTTTGCAGGAAGTTGTCGAAATGATTGAAGAAGTGATAGTTGTTAGGCGAGAGGTATACCAAACATGGCGGGTAACTTCTTCGACCAGTTCCTTCAACTTTTGCAACGTCAGTAGAGTTATGTATGGCCACAAGTGATCGTAGGCATCGGTGGTCTCTTTCGATTGACCAATGCAGGACAGCCGTTAAAGTTTCTGGTCCATTTCGTCAATGTACTGGAGTTACCTCTTCACATTAACCGTTCCTTCTGGACTTAAAATGCTGTAATGGATCAATCCAGTGGCAAAACAACAAGCCATCGGCGTGACTTTCTTTTGGTGTAATCTCAAGGAGAGGAATTGCTGTGAAGTTTTATTACGGTCCAATCACTGAACCAATCGTCGTTGCTTGTCATAAGGACCCATTTCTTGTCGCACTTCACGGTAAGGTCGCGAAACCAATTTTACATAGAAGTATTCACGGTGCCTTAAAACAGTGAATTTTTTTATTGTCATTAAATTCATGCAGCGTCCATTTATCGAGCTTCTTGGACTTTCTTTAGGTACTTTGAAACAGTTATACATGTTTTTGTTTCCAACAAACCGTTCAATTCATCGTCGTCAATGACAAAAGGATATCCGCGACCTCCCTCATCTTCATCAATTCGGCGTGTCGATGTTTTCCGAACCGACGTGTAGCACTATATATTCGTTAACACTTCCATGGCCCCATACTTCATCAGAATTTCCTACCGTTTGTATTTCGTACATCTGAGTTTGAACTCATAGAAGTTTGCTGAAATTGCTGTTTTGCCATCTGAAATTCTAGCCTTTTAAAATTTTTTCAAAAAAATGCAATATCGTAATTCAACGATACGGGGCTAAGGTGCACGAAATGAGCTTTTTAACGGCTCGCAATGGTAGAAAATTCGAGAAAAGGCTAATGCTAATGAAACATACATGGGAAAAGAATTTGCAAATTGGATGCTAACACTTTCGTAAACAACGCCAAGTCTTGGGCTTCTTGCGGACTGGACGACGGCTTATTATCAGCCTTTATGGATTTGCTGGTTTTTTTGAAAATGAACGGTAGTTTTTCGACAAGTAGAGGTATTCCTAGGTTTTGAACATGAGTGGTTTGTAGAGAAGACTTTGTTCTGTCGCTGTATCGGTGTGAATGGTATTGTAATGCTGTTTACTGTGGGGTCCATCATACGAACACATTACTATCAACATTTGGAAGTGTTTTGCAAATTTTGGACCTTTATTTCAGTATTTTTTGGACATGCACAATTTGTACGATAACTACCGTTCACTATAGGAATTATAATTGAAATAGTAGTCGAATGGCACCCAAATTTATGGTTAGTGGACTCGTTCTGGAAACATTTTTTTTTGTTTGTTTCTAATTGCAGCATAGAGCTTTTCCAGACTAACGGCCAACTCAAGATCTGCGGTTTATAAGCTATCAGCTAATAACTACAATTTTAGGAAAATAGTTCTATGTGTTAAAATGAACCACCAGAAAGAAAGTGAGACCTATAATTGTCTTACTGACCACACCTGCAAAGCATTATGACACTTATAGGTGATGCTCATCGCGAGAATGTTAATTTCCGAGCATTCTAATACTTCCTCTAATTCCTAAAGGTGTGTCTGTCCTCGAATCATATACTAAGAAGAGTGAGAATCTGTTCGTAGATGGGTGTGTAATATCTACAGTTTCGTAGAAAATGAAGAAGTGGTTCAAGTAAATCAAACTGCTTCAGGCTTTCCGTGCATGAGCTTAAGCATTCCATATTCTGTTCATACTTTTACTCACCAATTCTCGACGACGTGAACACTATAGTATGCTCTCCGGGTAGCCTGACCCGTATAGGGATCGTTTTATTTTTGGTGATTTATTTCGTTGCATAGCATCCTTTTCGTAAACTTTTTGTAATCATTCGATAGCTTATCCAACACACATTTTGTGATAAACGTCGCATAGACAAAAGTTCTATTCTGCACCTGGAGATGCACAAAAAACTTCTCCAACGACCACATTAATCGGTAGTTTGACTTGCAAATGACCGTCTTTTCATTTCTAATCGGTACGTTGCGTCATGGTTATTGTATGCAATTTGTGGAGACGGAAAATATTAAGATATACTGGTCATAGTTTGCGAAGCACTTCCAAATTCTGACAGCCGTCTCTTTGTATGATGTAATGCTAATAGACACATGTAGTAAATAATAGAATACACACCGTTCATGTCCATAGAACGTCAGACCATGTTCTTTTCTGCTGTCCTATCATGTATTTAAAATATCGCGTTCTGTAATGATCGAAACTCTTGTTTATTGTGAAATAGTCAGCAACCCTATGAGGGGTGACAATTGGGTGTCAATACTTGCGGTGAATACCAAAATAAGTCATCGTTGAGAATGACTTAAATGGAAACCTTAGTTCTCAGTTCAATCTAGCGATCTTGAAGCGAATATCAATTACCTCTTGGAGCGTTATTTTCGCTTCTTAAGACTTTAGTCATGTTTTGTAAAAATTTTAGATTGCAGTTTTGCTTATGAAAAGAAGACATTCTCCATATTCTTTGTAAATTGAGCGTTCATTGTAGTGTCTTTTTGTAAGTGGGATCAGTGCTGTCGAATAACGACTTTTTATAGCTTGTGAAATTCTTAACGCTGTTTGTTTTAATGGATCCCTTGTATACATTTATTATATGATGGTACCATTGAAGTGGAAAAAATCAAAATGATTTTCAGAAAGTATTAATTCATGTTGGTGTTTTTACATGATTATAGTTAGAGGATTACTTATTTACTTGGATACTTAAACGGCCCGTCGTCACTGGTTGTGCGGACCCCAGCATAGTCTCCATTTTTCGGAGTTTTGTGGTTTAGCCATGGTGTTTTCCTGGAGTCCCGAGATCAGCCTGACCAAAATCTGCTCCAGCTCATCACCACCACAGGAAGTCACCGCCCTTGTGGATCAGAGGGAGATTTGCCACTATACGACTGGTTTGATACCAGGACGATGGTGGATGCTGGTATTGGTTTATTCCTAGCTGGACTTTCTATGGAAACACCTGACTCGTTTTCAGCTAGGGAGGCCCTGCCGGGGATGAATTCCCTGCTGTACATCGCATCCCGACACCCAGGAACACCTCCCAGCCACGATGAGGCGGCAAACCGTTGGGAGGTGTTTGTTAGAGTATTACTAATAATTTCTTGTTTTGTTATTTTGGTGTTATTATTAAACTATTGTAGCAGTTGAACTTCAATACGTTGATGATAACGGAGTTCCTGTTCCCGAGATCGCCGAAGAAGTCATTATGGAAGGAGAATACGTTGAGGAATATCTCGATCCAGAGGTAGAAGTAATTTTCGAAGTTTCGACAGTTAATGTCTTGGATTCTTTTTCTGTTGTAGACGATAACGCTTATAAAAGATTGTAAGTTGTTCACATTGTCTTTCTTAGCATTTTCCCGTATTGCTCGTTCACCATTGAAAATACATTGGAACATTTTTGTCATGTTGGTAGCGAAAATGAGACCCGTGTAAAATATAGGGAATCATATCTGATATCTTCTTATCCATGGTTCTACAAAAGCTTAACCATTATACAAAATCTGTAACAGTGTATCAAGAGATCGTTGTTTCCGTTATGCTATTTTGCTTTGTGGTATTTTTTTGTACTTGTTAACAGTTGCCTTGACATGTACTTGTTTATTTATTTATTTAATATTGTTCCTTTTAATAGGAAGTAATTTTTCAGCACTTACACGAAGATGATATGGCCGAGTCCTTGGTTGCGCTGTCTCGTAGTGGAGAGTTTTGCCATAAAAGTGGGAGGGAATACGTTGTTGAAAATATGGAGGTGAGGTAGTCATTTTCTTGTTTTAGCACGTTTGGTACAATTATTTGTAGCTTCCTATATTCCTGATCCGCCCACGTGTGGTAGTTATGAAGTATATTCCATGTTTTCTGATGTTTATGGGAATTTTTGCTTGTTAAAATGATCACTGGCGCATGTAGCGGAGCGGTCGGAAGCGCCACTACGACACACGTGGAGTCGATCCCCGCGCCCATGGCCCACAAAGCCTTCCATCCCTCCGGGGTCAGCAAATTGGTACCAGACTTGTCTAGGAGGATGACAGCACAGGCTCGATAAATCGGTAGACCACTGCGAGTTATTGTAAAGGCTAGATATGCATTCAATTACCTCAAACGATACTTAATGAAGTCGAATGCTTGGCGCATCCTTCAAGGATTGATCAACGCTGAGAGTTTTATCCTTTATGTTTTAAAATGATCATGTTGTCTTATAGCTTTGTCGTATCTATATTTGTTCAGTCGAGACGTCGGCATCCGCGCATTTTAAGAAGATTTGGAACAACTTCACATCAGCAATATATGGAACAGCACCATGGTTTCGTAGACCCGTCACAAATAGTGGTTGAAGAATTCCGTGAGTTCATGGATTTGATTAAAACTATGAGATTAGTTGAAAGAGTAGTTCGAACTTAAAGAAATTGTTCAAGCGGCAAGTCGCCATTTGCATTTTTTTTGCCATAGTAAGAAAGAAAGGTGAAGATCTTGGCGTTGATCAGTTCCTAAGAGATGCACCATGCGTTCGACTTCATCAAGCATCGTTAGAGGCGGTTGAATGCATATCTGGCCTTTACAGTGACTCGCGGTGGCCTGTCGATGTATTAAGTCAATGTTGCTATTCTCCCGGACCGGTCTGCTACGAATTTGCCCACTCCGAAGTTATGGAAGGTTTCGTGGGTCTGGGCAGCGAGATCAAACCCATTTGTATTGCAGGGCAGCCACTGCGCTACAGTGGCCCTTGTTTGTCGTTAAGTATTAAATAAATGCTTTATCTCTTTTGGGATTAAATGCTGTCAGATCCCTCTTATGTCAGGTGTAATTTTCCGAAATGTTTGGAATCAGCTTCAACATGTATGTCTAATTTTAGATCCAGTTTCATCAGCTGGACGAGACACGCGGTTCACACCAAGGTATCCAGTTGCGGTAGCGAAAAGAGGTCCGACAGCGAATGTTCGACATTCGTATAACAAAACAGACTGGAGAGAGGATCAATGCAAGTGCGATCTTTGTTTTTCATAATGGTTGAGTGAACTTTAACCTCTAACGCTGGATTGCAATGCATGGGGTGCAAAGCTACTGACTGCTTTCAAGTTAGATCAGTGTATCGCATATCAAAGTGGTCTTTGTTAATTGAACTAGGAAGTGTTGGGATCTATATACGGCGTTGGAAATTTTAAAGAAAATGTTAAGACTAGGTTTCGTCGTTATTTTTTGAAGGTTTTATTTCTGGGGCGGATTTAAAAATGGAGAAATATTTCATAGGAAAATTGTACGTGCTTAGAACGATCTAGTATATTCTCTTCCATAAATCCATAAATTTGTCAGCTAACCACTCCAGCGACGGAGAGGTTATCGTCGATTGTCAAGAAACTGACATGGGGTGTTATGTGTTGAATCATTGTGTTCAGGTGGTAGCGCCTTGAAAGAAGGATGTTTATTCTAACTTCAGATTCAAACGTAATGAAATTGATAACCGTTTTAGAAAGTTATTGGTTTGTGATGTTCTTGAATCATTGCCGGAACACAAGCAGGAATCCTTCAAGAGACTGATGGAGATTTTGGAAGCCCGTGTTCCTGGATATCGGGAATCGCCGAGACGAAGATACCCAGGGATATCTCCTGTAAAATCTTTCTTCTTGATTTTTTTTGTATTCATTTCTGTCATTGTCATCACTAAGTAATAACGCTAATTAGTTAGCTCAGTAGCCGTTACTATTACCATTATTATTATCATTGTTATTATTACCATTTAAGGTACTACTTTTATTATTATAAGCTATTACTATTGGTGTTACCATTGCTATTTTTATTACTATTACTACCATGGTGTTTAGTATTAGTAGTTTCTTTTTGTTGTTTATCATCTAGATAGGTCGTTTTCTTCAATTGGCTAATTTCTTGCAGAGTTACTATCAGGATTTGGACGGCCAGGCCGTTAGTCCACGTCAAGCATCACAGAAAACTCCTCGAACAGTAGCATACGGTAGAATGTTTTCATCCTGTCTTTTGATTTATTTTTTCTTTATTCTATCTTTGTCTACGCTGTGCTACTTCCCGTTTTAAGAAGGGCGTTATATGGGTCAGCCACGTTATATTGTCACGAATCCTTCTTCAAGTAGCTCTCGTGTAGTAGCTATGATTCCTTTTGAAGAAAAAGCTAGAGTTGACTCTGCAGAACGAGCTGACGTTGCTGAGATGCCAGAGTTAATTCAAGGTGACATTAATGAAGGCGATAGATGTGTGGATCCGAATGATATTGACGAGGTAATAGTGAATAAAAGTGTTCACTAAATTTTATAGGTATTATGCTGAGATTATTGTTTTAGGCTGGCGAAGTAGATATAGAGACGTACGAGGAAGATCACCGAGACCACCGAAAATCGAGTGTATGGCTTGATAATAAAGGACGAGTTGTTGATGTGAGGTGTTCAGTTTTTGTTTCGATCTGTATCCTTCATTCGAAAAGTTTCATTTATTTGCCATTTTGAGGTGGTTACGAATCGTGGTACTACTCTAATTTACCCTGAAATGCGACAGGATATTTTTGGAACATCTGATCTGCGTTCCCTTTCAGCTTCCCAGGGAAGAGATGTAATCTTTAGTGTAGGTTACGTCATGTTCCAATATTCCTAAGTAATTTTAGGGTCAGGATGACCGGTTCTGTCCATCTTGCAAAATGACAATGAAGAGATCAATATATTATCATCATGGACGTCTTATTCGGAAATATGGCCGCTGCGATATATTCACTCCTAAACGTTTTCCATGCGGATCTCCTGGGGTAATTTCTGAAATCGCCCAATGTTCTTTGTTTTCTATAGTAAGTTTTAGAAGTGTAATTTTGTGTGAACTTTCAGTGCAACGAGAGACTAGGCACTCTAGAGAGGCTTTGTGAGCACATGTATCAAGTTCATGGAGCTCCGACAGATATCAGGCGAAAGATATTTGAAAATGAGAGTCAATTTGAAGTGAGTGGTGGTTTTCTTTGTTATTAAATTTTTAAACTTGCTTTTAAGGAGTTCTTACGTGAGTTGGAGAGCCGAGGTGGTAACTTCCGCATGTCCAGAGGAAACAAAACTATAAAAGAGGGAATTGTACAATATTTCCGTTGTAACAGAATATTCTCGATCGCTAAAGACAAGGCCTTGCGCATTGTAGATGATATAAACGTGAGTTTATACTCAGATATTGCCTCTTGTCTTTTTGATTTGCTCTAGAAGTTTTACAGGCTGGGACATACGAGGCGGTGAAAGACATTACACAGCCTATGGATCCATTTGGTAAGGAAACAAGCACAAAGCCATATCTTCGAACAGAGGAAGCATGTACGGCTTTCTTTAGGAAGACATACCTCAATGATGGGTGGGTTGTTTACCGAATTGATATTTAGAGTATCTGTCATTCTTTGTCTTCAAGTCTGTTCATTTGTTTTAGAACAATCGAAGTGAGGTATTGTGATTATCATCTTCATGGCGATGAAAGGCTACGTCTTCCAGTGGCTATTCGCAACCGTATTTATGAAATGACTAAAAAGAAACTTCCATTGCCAGTGATTGTAATGGTTCTCCACAGTATGTTTTATTTTCGCAAAAACATAACCTTGGTTCCTTATTATGTTTGTTAATTTTTTCCAGAAGAATGCAATCGATTCTGCATGCCTGGAACAGCACTTGAAAGAAGAATTATGGCTGTTACTCCTCGAGAGGTTCAGTTAGTTGCGCAGTCCGTTCAGCGTCGTCTTGATGCAGCCGCGAAAAGAAGTCTGTTCACTTTTCTGTTAACTATGCTTGTTTTTAAACAAAATATGCTTTAACTCGGAGCGGGGTTGTAGTGAAAGTATTGCTGTGAAATCAGAGAAAGCTGCCGAGGCGTCCGGTCAGCTGCAAACGTTGAACGGAGGTCAACAGTTAGAAGCTGATAACGTCAGAGAAGATCACGAGGCTGCCGAAAATCTGTTAAGCCGAACTGATGACAATGAGCATCAGAATGACGATCGCGAACATTTGGAACCCGCAGATGAAATTCCTGAGGAATGCGCGGAAGGTGGTGAAGGCGTAGATTTCTCAACAGAAGGGCGTGGAGAAGGTTAGTGTCGCTATCTTCTATGGCTCGAAATCCTTTTTGTTTCCTTGTTTATCTATGTTGTCATCCATTTCGGTTCTTTTCTCATTTTTAGGTGGCGAGTTGACGGAGCTTGAATTAAGAACATTGGAAGAATATGAACGGAACCGTGGAGTCATATTAACTGACTTCCAGAGCTTAAAAAGAGAAGAAAATAGAAAACGGTGTTTTATTTAATATTCTCATATATGCCTTTACTAGCCGGGCAAGGAGTTTTAATTTTTCACTAGCCGTTCACCTTCACTAGCTGGATATTTTCAGGTTGTGTCGTGAACGTGTACGTGCCAGAATATACACCTTAGGTCGTGCTATGAGGGTACGTTCATTGTATCTTAAAAATCTATCAATCTTAAGTCTTTTAACAAGAATAGGAGCGTTGAGCGACTAAGGGTTTCAACCTAAGGTACAACGTGTGTATAGTATTATGTTAATTAGCATTTCTTCAGAACATCCAATTCTCCGATTTCGAGTGCGACATACTTGTTCGATCGGAGCAAATGTTAGAGGCTGTGGTTGAGTTATGGAATGCAAGAATGGAAGCGGGGGGCAAAAACGGTTCAGTGAAACCGATTCAGAAGCATAATACTTATTCGGATATAACTCGAGGAAGCTCATCTGAGGACTCTGTTGAGCAAAAGGAAATCCCTACAGCTCCAGACTCTTCTGTCAGTATTAATAGCGTCGAATGTCCTATTACTGAGTCTGAAAACGCTTCCGATGTTAGTATTTAAACCTATTTAGTAACGAGATACAATCGCAATAATGCTGAGACATTTGGAAAACGTGAACGCCAGACCAGATTCGAGCCCAAAATTACCCTTTCCGGGGGCTAACCTACTGCACCACTGAGGGCCTTGCTTTTCCTTTCACTCAAGTTTTGCAAATACCTCGGCTTCAATGGGAATTGTATCTCATAATACCTTACCGAAGAAATAATAGACAAAAAATAGGAAATTAAACATTGTGATTGCTATTTAATAGTATTATTCAGTCAAGAAATGACTTATATTAAATCGTTATATATTGTTAATGGTGACATTGGATTGAGATAACTATGTGTTCTTTTGTTTGAAAATATTACAACATTTTGTTCAGAGTCTATCGAGATCCGTACCTGACACTAGCCAGTTCACGCGAACCACTTCTATTAGTGGTAGAAAAGCGGTTAGTTAAGAATAACTTCTATATCTGTCCATTAATCAATTTCAAATGGTTCGTGTGTCAGACATGTGCTACTGTATAAAGGAGAAATCACTAGTGTTGTGCAAAGTCGTTAACCTTTGAAGAAAATTTGGTCCTCATGGTTTACGTTAAATTGTGTTTCCAATAAGTCATAGGTCATTTTGTCGACACAGTGGTGTTTTCATAGATTTAATACTTGTTTGCAGATTTTAATACTTAATTATCAGATGAAATAATAAGTAGCTGTTGAAAAATAACTGATCTGACGTGAAAAGTGAGGAACGAAAGAAAATAAACCGGTAGCAGAACATTACACTTTTTTCCTTTGCATTGTACTCTTTCAAAGAAGCTTTGCATAATGATGGAAATTTATATGAAGTTTTAATAGAATATATTTTATGTTAAGGGAAAAAGTCGAGCACGTCGTAGTCCTCGTTCAGAAAGACAAATAAAGGAAGAGCCTACGATCCTCAGTGTTGAAGCACCCACTTCGCAAACAGCACCAGCCGTCACAAGGCTGGGTCGTGTTATCAAACGAAAGAAGATTCTTGACGTGTAATTTAGTGGTTGCGAAATATATGATTAGTGTATTCCTCTTTGTTACTATTTGTGTGAACGTTTATATAATTGAGAAAAGAATACTTTATGAATAACCGTGTTTTTGGCGCATTGTCTGTGCATTATCGCTGTATCCCTCTTTGTTACTATTTGTGTGTTCGCTTGTATAATTGAAAAAAAGAATGTTCTTATGAATAACCTTTTCTTTGACGCATTGTCTTCGACTTATCGTCCTTTTTTGACAGTTGTCTGCGCCTATGCTGAACTTTGAAATCGTTTTTTTCCCTTCGGCACTTTGTCTTCGACATTGCAAAGCTTTGAAATAAAAGCGTCGAGTCAGGACGTGACCTATACAGTGCACCATTTAAGATATCTGGTAATGATTAGCGTACCATGCTTTTATGCTATAAAAAAAGCTCATTCGAAATGACTGTACTGAAAGCTATTTTTTAACCACGAGTTTTGTAAAAAAAACAAGAGAGAAGCGTAGCAAGTACACATTGCTGAATATGAATCGAGACTTGAACTTTAACATCAAATACGCGAATGATAAGGAGAGTCCGCTGAGTTCCAGTCAGAGATAAATACGAGATATGTTGTCACATCATTGATTTGCAGGAAGTCCTTCCCGCTACTTGTATGGCATCTTAATGTAGCTGGTAGACTCGTAATTGTTCTCGCTGAAAATTGGGCCAGTAGATTCTCTAGGTGTGGCCGCTGAGATAGTGTAAATGATGGTATTGCATGTGTCGTTTTAATTGAATGGAAATTGATTGTTGGAACGATTGGTTGAAATACTTTAACATATGAATTATGTTGCTCTCATTGAATTTCATCTGAATTGACGCCAAAAGTGCTGTTCAGAAGCCGTGGTTTTTTTCTTGCAAGCTTATCTCGGAAATCCTTACATGGTTGCACAGCTGACGAAAAAAAGCCCAATACCTTTTTTCCGGGTCGTGGCTTCCACGTTGTCCACTTCAATGACCAGTTAAGAGTTGGGGCAATCTTAGTTTTCTTAGAACGAATAAATGGGCTGCGACAACATTTCCATTCTCTATTTGGAGACTGCTCAAGTTTTGCATTTACAGGTCGGAAAAAATCTCTTCAAATGGCTATCTTTATGGTTTTTATGGAATCAGTGCATACATCGGACTGCAATCTCAAGTGGAAGGAATGTGATACACCTTAAAGGTTTTAAACTAATGGCTACTTATCAACTGTAAAGAGAAGTATTTACCACGAAATGCTGTTGTCGTCCGATTTGTCGTCCACACCACTTCAAATATGTTATACTATCAGTGGTTTAAAGGCATGTCTAGGAGAACATCGCAACAGGAATGAAAGCTCCACTGTGACACACAGGTGGAATCGATCCACGCGCCCACGGCCCACCACGCCTTCCGTCCCTCCGGAGTCGGCAAATTGGTACCAGTCTTGGACTTGTCTGGGAAGATAGCAGCATGGCTCGATACCACCGCGAGTCATTGTGAAGACCAGATATGCATTCAATCACCTCCAATTGATGCTTAATGATGACAAATGCATGGCACATTCCTAAGGGATTAATCAACGTCAAGAGGTTTATCGTTTTTCTTTTTATCATCAAGGAAATTATTAGTGAGCAATTTATCTGCTCTTAGTACATTTAAATAAATCTTGTTTTTAACAAATTGGTAGATACTTAGTAGAACTTAGTCAACAGAATCATTGCTCATTGCTAGAAATTTTAGTTTGTAATAAAAGAGAAAAAGATCCAGAATATTTCATTTATTAGCGCAAGACGTTATTGCTAGAACTAACGTCCACCATTACATAGTGACCTCAGTTTAATTTGAAAAATCCTACAAAATAGGCAGGAAACGACGGTGTACTCATCTGCCATCGCTAATCGTTTCTTGCTCACTTTGTTGTTCATTTTATTGTATGAGGTTCGTTATTGTCATGCGACATCTATAAGTTATCCTCTGTGTCCTTGTTCTACCAAAATTTCTAGAGAATGATAAAACTCATAGTCAATCCAAAAGGAGATGGCGGTGTTTTCACTTCGTTTACATGTAATAGTACCAGTTCTGTGAAAACAGTCAAAGCCCAGGAAGCTGTATGCGGGTACTGAATGCTAAACGTAGTCCAATAAGTGGACTGCATTCCCCTGATTACAAATGAGCCACCGACACGGCAATGTTGATTAGGACGAGTACGAAAGGGCTGACAAAATCTTAGAGCCATTCTTAGCTGCCTGCAAGTGGAAGCACTAATGCGACAAGCAACAATTTCTCCTTACAATGCACATTCACTAGCCTCTTAAACGGCTATAGAGGACCGAATAATGCAAGCAAAAACATAAGCGGGGACGTCATTGCTCTGGATGAGACGAGAAGACGCCAGCCAATTAACGCTGTCTATAACAACGGAGAAGAACTGTTCCTCGGAACATACGACAACAAAGGGGTTGGGGTGTCAACGTTCTCGCCAACACGAGTTTGGCCATAGATATCTATTCGTTCAAATAACTAGTAATGTGAGTCAGGCGCTTAGGGTTGAACAAGTGTGAGCCGGTACCGGCTTTGACAATCATCGTTGCTCACAGAGAGCCACAGGCTGTGACAAAGGCGACGTCGAGATGATTTGCATGAAATAGGAGAAATTCTACGAAGAAAACCACATATTCTTTAAAGTCATCATTAGAGATTTGAACGTTAGTGTTGGACCCCAGAAGAACGTCTTGAGAACCCTGAATTGAGACCTACGAATTAGAAGGGAACGAACAGGCTGAGCGGTTTTCTGAGTTTACTATTACGACCAAGTCCATTTGTGGCAGTTCACAAATCTAGATGCTAGCCGATTATAGTAACGCTCGTGGAAAGTGCGGTCTTCTTCTAAATCTCACAAAAACGATGTACGTGAGGAACGGATTGGTTTCCTATTTCCCATTCACGTTCAACGGAATTAATATCTCCGAGTGCTCCAGTTATGTCTATCTAGGTCAGGAAATCAACATGTTGAACGACTTAGCTCCAGAGTTGAGCAGGATGATGCGAATGGCTTGGGGAGCAATAAGAGTATCGAGGATATACTAAAGGAAACAAAGAACAGCATGGCTCACGCACACCTCAGTTGCAATATTCTTGCTGCTTTAACATTTGCGTCAGAAACCTGGTCGCTGTGTAAGCAGGATGAAAGACCAATCAATGTTATTGAACGCACAGTGGAGAGGACGATGCTAGGAGTATCCCATGTCACATAAACGAAGAAAGGGATCTTAAGCTCCGATCTGCGTCAACGATCAAAAATCAAAGATGCCGTTCTATACGCCAGACGGTCGAAGATATAGGTGGGCGGTCAGGTAATGTTTAGGAACAACAACCGATGGACAAGAGCCGTTAGTTACTGGATTCCTCGGGATGTTATACGAATGGAAAGAGGACCATCAACACGAATGTCAGATTGTGTACTTTTTCATCTACTGCCTACTACAATTTCAACGGCTAGTAAGCAGTAAATAAAAAGGAAACGTGATTTCGACTGCAACCTCAGCATAACTGTGGGTTCAATGCCGATGTAGGCTTCTCAGCTCAATCCCGTTGACGCGCGGTTGCCAATGGCACTGGTAGATAAAGAACTAGCTGAGAGGAAGGCAGAGCAAGGGCCTCCGTGCAGCAGTGTGTACTGCGCGAGCTCCTAGAGACGGAATTCGTGGTTCGATCTGGTTGGCCCGGGCTTCAAGTATTGCGAATATCTCAGCATCGTTGTGGTTGATTTCGAAAGTATTCTGCCGTGAAAATTGTAGGCAGTAGATTAAAAAGTAAACGAATGTTAGGGCTTTTTTTTAAGAAAACTCAAGAAGAAAAAAAGATGTCCAACGAGTCCCTTGAGCGAGAAAAACCCAGTGGAGTACTCTTGAAGGCGACATGGAGAAATAGAAGACTTAGAGACGCCTGCAGGAATCGCTTTAGGACCGACGGGTCGAGAGTTAAATCATAGATCACGTTATTCGGAGTGATAGCAAACGGGCAATGATATCTTATGCTTTTGTCCTATTGTTGGATGCCCTTTTTGAATGGCTCCACACAAACTGTGCATTCTAGTAGAAGGATGCGGTCGAAAAAGCTCCGTGGGAATATTGTGAAGGTGGGAACGAGAAAACTTGAACAGCAATTCGAAAAATGTAGGTGGATAACGATTGTTTGCTTGTTATTAATCAACGACAATAAAGCAATGTTACCGTTTCGTTTTTGTTTTGTAAATTCGTCGAGTTAATGAGTACAAATCGCAATATTACATTCATCGTACTTAATGGGAGCAGTCAAAGAGCCACTGATTTATTTCTGATGCAAGAGTTTGCGTAAATCTGTTAAATCTCTTGGGAAGGACGACTGAACTTGGTCTAGAAAAGGTGGAATTTGAACCAGCGACTGTTCGACGCATGACGTTCTAAATGCCAACGATAATGTCGAATTGCTCCTAATATGCTTTCACAAGTTTCTCCGGCTATAAATTCGACTATTCAGAAATGATTTCTACCATTTAGGAGATTGCTTTTATGAATAAGCAAAATTTACGTTTAGAGAATGTTATTTGCTCTGCTCACGCCGGTCAAAAGCTCGGTTTCCTAGGCCTAACGCATCAATCTGTAATTCCATCAATTACACGTACACTGCGGATATACAGCGGGGGTTTCCATCAGGAAGCCCAGCTGAAAGTAAATCAATGCCAGGATCCACCACTGTCTTGATATCAAACTAGTCGCATGGTGGCAAATTCACCTTTGATCTACAAGGGTGGCGACTGCCTATGATGGTGACGATCTAGAGCAGAGCGTTCAATAGAACACTATATGTTCATATTCCAATGCCGAGGTTAAGAGAAAGTCGTTCCTGGGAACTATTACAAGATGTACCAGCAAAATACTTTCGACTTGTGAAGGAAGCATTGTCACTAAGACAGAAGATTGTCTTAGCTAGACAGCAAATCAACTTCCTCCGCCGCTGTTTTCAACATCGA